CTTTTCAATACAAAAAGCCGATTAATCGATTAGTCGACAGCAGATTTACTTATCCCTAGTTTCTAGAATGCATCTAGAAGTTATTCATTTTTTGAATTACGTATCTAGTGGGCCTTCTATTCTTTATAAGTGTTATTCCTTTTTACAGAAGGTATTTAGAGAAGCTGTTTATTCTAGGGAAGACTCCGATAAGACCATTACATCATGTCCCTAAATAACTTCCTGGAGGCATTCTTAGATAAAATGGTCTTATATTCTATAGACTGTAGTAACCGTTTCTTCCATACAATTGAGTATCTCTCAGGGATTTTCTTTTCTATTTGAAAGCCCTCAAAGTAAACTACTCATATCAGAATTATTTTCCGAACATTCTCCATAAGTTTGCAATGCAATCTTTTCATTATTAATTTAGTAATATCTTTCAAATTATTTTAAATATTTATTTTTACAACAAAAGAAGGGTATTTTTATTTAACGAAATATTTATGTTTACAATATAATATTTGCATTTCATGGTAATAATAACATTTTAGTTTAAAAATAAATCGACAGACGTACTCTGTGAGACACACCTACATTACCCCGTCTACGTATTTTTACACATGCATGCAAATTCACATGAGTACAGCCAATGCGTAAAATTACAACAATACAATTTTATTATTCTATTTTTTTTTTTTTTGAGAAACAAGAAAAATAGCTCATATAATGAAACGACAACTAAATTAATAGCATCTGGTTGTTTTTAATTTAAATATATTTCCCCCTTTTGTTGTGGTTGATGGATATCAGCATAAATTAATGAGGGGGCAGGGGGAAAGGATACATTACTCACATAGCAAAATAATTCTGTATTTCATGGAATTGCAAAAAAATCATACTAGATACGACTATAACAAAACCGCCAATGAATGCGAGAATACAATCTTTCAAATAGCAACAACAAAAACAATCTCAAGACAGTGGATGCTTTAAGGCTTCATATTTTAATTAGCTTCCCATGGCAATGCTTAATGAGGAGGTAGAGGAGGAGTAAAGGAAGTTCTATAAGTAATGTGAGGGATATGGTATGGTTAAAGAGTTATTTAGGTTTCCAGGAATTTTCACATAGCCTTTGATATATCACAGAACAAAAACAAAATCATTCACATCTCCTGTTTTGTGGTCAAGTAGACAGCAGCTCGCCATAGTCACGCGTATCTTATCTTATGCAATTGTTAAAAAAATAGCAGCAAAAACACACATAGCGATTTAATTGTTTTTATTTACTTTTAATTTGCACGAATGAAAAAAAAATCGCAACAATCAACACAAAAGAACACAAAAAAAAATCTATCTTATCAATGAAAAATTGCTATAAACAGCAGATGACGTCTGGGAGAAAGGGGATCAAAGGCAAATAAAAAAACAAAAGCTACAGATAACCAACAGAAGATGTTGTAGTAGTAAAACAAAATACTTATATGTAGAATTATAAACAGTAAAAAAATAAATTAATATTTTTTAAGATAGTTAAAAAACTGTTTGTTTTGAGTCTAGGTAGGGGGAATAAGGAAGGGTTGTTGACATATTTGTTAATCTAATGAAAAAGGGGGTATATACCTCCTGTTCTAGATAACCCATACTCTGTTATATATATGGGGTTCTCATGTATGTCCGCATTTCCACCATTCATTTCCAGTACACATTTCTTTTAGTTATTGTTGTTTTTTTTTATATTTTCATTCCATTTCAATTTCATAGATAAAGTCATTGTGTGTCAATCACAATTCATTCATTCATGCCAATGAAGAGTATATTTTGTAGGCAAATCTATAGATACAGAGAGAGTGAGTGAGTGCCCAAGTGTGGGTAAGAGAAATGAGAACAAACAGAAAAAAATAAATAAATGAAAATCAACAGCACCATTGACAAGAATGATTAAATAATGAAACATGCCACAAAACGTCGTCTCTATGTTGGTCAGATTGTTTTCGATTTGGCTTTTTTGTTTTATTTATTTTATTATTTGTTCGGAAGTCAAACAAACGAAACAACAATTCGTTGTTATATTTGAGATCATTCCCATTCATAGATATCCGGATTTTTGTGTGTGAGAGAACAAAATATTACTCATGTTTTTGTATTTGGCTATTGCAAAAAAAAATGAAACTGTCATCTCAAGTATGTGGTGGTTCTTCAATAAAAAATTGATTTATTTCACTAAAATCGATTTAGCTTATTTGTTTTAATAGAAGATGTTTATAATTTTAAAAGTGGTTTGTCATTTTAAGACTTATATGGGAAATAAGGAAATATGTATTTGTTCATTCCATATATGGGTAAAATTTATAGGAATTACACGTTATAAAAATAGACATTCACACCACTGTAAATTTGATTGAATTATGCCATTGAAATAACATTTCCTTAAATATTACATTATACTAATATCTAATACCCTTAAATATAATGACCATAAAATATTTGATTTTAAAGCCCATACAATATTGCAATTAAAAATTCTGATTTGACTCTGCAACAAATTTCAAAGTTCTCATAATTATCGGGTGATTCCAAAAATTTATGATAGATGGGCTAAAACAGAACTTGTATTGACATTTATGCCAACTTTACGTCGGGAGTTAATCTAAAAAGGCGTGACGCAATATTTCCCACTTTCAAGAAATTTGAAAATATTTATATATATATTTTTTTTATACGTCAACCCTCCGACGACTCTCTGAAAGGGCCTTTTCATTGCCCTTTTTCAAAAATGATTGAGAACTCATTTAAAATGGGATTATAGCAGGTCAGAATAAAGTTTTAGTATAAGTCTCAGAATAGACCAAAACTCAAAAAACAGCCTAAACGTCAAAAAAAAAAAAAAAAAAAAATTGTGAAAATTCCTTTTAGTGTTAAACTTGGATTCTATTCCGAGTTTGTATGAATTTTTTCCTTTAGATATCATCATAGAAGGATGCAGCAACGTACACAGGACTTCATTTCGGGGGGGCCCGGTAGTACAAAATAAAAAAATTCGCTGTTAAAAACGTGAAAAAATTCATTTCGCCGCCCCCTGCGTACGTCCCTGGAAGGATGGATGACATAGTTATAGTCAGAAGAGCTAATTAACCATCAATATTGATCATAACTAAATATCTAGTACCATTTAGTCCCTTTGTTCTCTTATAGTACGTATTTTCAAAACTACCTTTATATCTCAACACTACACACCAATTCTGATCGCAACCAGAAATCTAGTTCTATACTAATTTGTCGTATCATTTATTACCTTTTGTACTCTTGAAGAACTTATTTCCAAAACTAATTCCTAATTCTAAAGGTAACCCCAAATCTTAATTTTACCAAATTTAGTACCATTTAGTACACATTATAAATATAAATCCAATAGAAATCATATTTCCCAATTTCAGGATCGCTTCAGCCAAATATAACTGTATCATATCATTTAATACATAATAGTACATATTTCCAAAACTTCCTATATTTCCGAATCCTACACTCCAACAGTAATCATAATTTCAAAATTCCAGCTCTATCGCTTCACCCAAATTCAAATTGTATCAAATTTAGTAACATTAGTAAGAATTTCCAAACTTCTTACATACCCTAATTCTACACCTCAACAGTGATCTTAAAACCAAATTTCAAGATTCTTGCTCTATCGGTTTTTCCAAAAATTCATATTGTACCAAATTTAGTACCATTTAGCACCCATAAGTATGAATTTCCAAAACTTCATCCATACCCCAATCCTACACTCCAACAGTAACCCTTTTTTCCAAATTTCTGTGTTCCAGCTCTATCGGTTTACCCAAATCAAAATTGTACCAACTATATTACGATTTAGTACTTTTCGTACAAATAAGCTAAACATTTCCAAAACTACGTACATATCCCAATCTTACACTGTAATGTAATTTCAAATTTCAGGATCGAGGTCCATCCATTTCACCAAAGTCAAATTGTATCACATTTAGTACAGTTTAGTAAATATCGATTCTACTTCAAAACCTCACTTTGCATTCCAAATTTCAAGTTTTTAACTCTACCAATTCCCATGCTACGAAATTGTACCAAATTTAGTACATTTTAGTACTTTTCGGATACTTATAGTTCGAATTCCAGAAAACCCTTTGCTACATCTATTCCATACTAATCCATCAGTGATCCTCATTGGTACCACATTTAGTACTTTTCGTGCGATAACTGGGTTTATCGTCGCAGATGTCCCTCAAATTGGTTTATAGATATGAAATCGAGTAATGCAGAAAAATGTTGTAGCGCGTTTTTGTTTTTATTTTATCTGTGTAATGTAAACGGAATTAATCTTGTTCTGTAGCCAGTATGTACCCCTCAATTAATGAAATAGGTTATTTCGAATAACCATAGTTCCGTGCTTGCAATAGGTAAGTCCTACTGTGTGTTTAAAAAGCTTAAAAAGTTCTCCATTTAAGTCCCCAAACTATCAATCCCATTCATGTGCATTAAATCATAAATTTCCCCATTACCAATCTCAAAAATCCCCCCTTAACTACCCTCGTTAAAACAAAAATTATATTTCGAATGTTTGTTTGTAAAATTGTGTCAATATGATAAGTAAACAGTTTATTCGTTGGTATGTAAGCAACAGCAGCAATTAGGGGTTCCTCAGTCTCAGTACTGACTCTACAAATTAGTGCACGTACTTTAAAAAAATTTCATAAATAAACAGTTTTTTGTTGTTTTTGTTTCTTTCATTCGTTGGTTGGGTCGTTCTTTTGTTGTTAATCATATCAAAAAGAGCATATTTAGTAGATAAGAAGTCAATGACCTCCAAGCTACATGCATGCACAGACACACAAACACACACAAATTTACCACTTGACCACCACTGACTTGGGGTCGGGGGTTTGTCGTTAACCAAAAAACTAATCGAAAAAAGGTAAATGGAATGCATTCACCACCACCACCATCACATGGCGGCATGAGCCATGAAAAGGAATTCCAAAACTTACCTCTCAATGAAACCACGCGACAACCGTCCTGCTTTAGACGTTTGTGTAAAACATTAATGGTGGTATCGGGACTGACACCCATAACACCTGGACCACTCGAAGAGGTACTTAGGTCCATGGATTGGGGACAATCCGCCGCATTGCCACCCCCACCAACACCCACATCATTGTAGAGCACAAACAGGCTAACCTTATAGCCATTGTGTATCCGTTCCTTTAGATCCGGCGATTTAATGGTGGACAATAGATCGATTTTGCCAGCCGCCAAACGCCTCAGCATTATGCTGGGTATGGAGAAGTTGACAGCCGAGCGTATATGGCACTCACTGAACTCATTGGAACTGCGACAGTCCAATATGATTAAATCTTTGGCATCACGTAGAGACGAAGAGGCTGATATGGAGCGCAGCTTCGTTTGCAGCCACTCCTTGCTAATTAATTCGAATTCCGTTTCGGGCATTTTGCTGGGGGCCGTTGAATTTTGATTTCTCGAATTGGGAAAACAGTTTTTCAAAATTTTCTGTTTATGTTGCGGTTTCTGGTCTGGTCGCTTAGAAAGGAGGGATATTTTTTGTTGAGTGTATAATTACACTATTGTTATTGTTGTGTAGTTGTTGTTCTTGTTGTTGCTGTTTTGTGAAATAAGATGTGCTGCTGCTGTTGTTGTTGATTTTGTTGGGGTCTTTGTATAGTGTGTAGTAGAATTGCTGCTGCGGCTGCTACTGTTTTTGTTATTATTCTTCTTCTTGTTCGTTTTTGCACTGCTGCCGTTTTAATATTTTTTTCTTATTATATTTTTGCTGTTTGTTTGTGTCAACTTGACATTACTCATGGCTTTTTGCTTATTCTTCTTCAAGAACGACGACAACAACAACACCACCATCACCATCAACGAATGAACGACGCGAACGATAGATGGATGATTACTTTTATTTATTTATTTTTGTAATAATAAAAACACTGTTTTTTGTTTTTGTGTAAAAAAAAATTGCTGCTATTTTTTGTTTTCTAATTTCCTATTAAGCGACTGCCTTTGTTTAAATTTTTACTGTTATTCACTTCAAAAACTTTTTTTTTAATTTTTATTTTTTTATAAATATTTTTATGTTTATTTTGTTTTATGACAATTTTATTTTTGTGATTTGTTTTTGTAATTCTTTTTCATGTATTCTTCTAATTTTACATTATAAAATATTTTATTTTTTGTGCTTTGTTATTTTATTTTTTGTATTTGTTTGTGCTTTACTTTACTTTTTTATTTTGTTTGTTTGGAGATTTTGCTGCTACTTCCTTTTTTGTTGGGTTTTCCTTGTTGGAATACAAAAACATCACTTTGTTGTATCTTGTTTTTTTCTGCTGTTTATTCTCTTGATTTGTTTTTTTATAAACACCAGAATTTTCTGCTTTACAAAATGTTGTGGTATTATATATTTTTTTTCTTTTTGTGATCTTTTTTCTTTACAAATTAATAAAAACGAGAGTAAATCTTATTTTGTTTCTACTTCTTTTTTGTATTCATTTGTTATTTCATTTAAATTATGTAGTTTCATTTAATTTATGCAAATTTTTATTTTTGTATTATTATGATTTGTGTTTTGTATATTTTTTTGGTATTGAATTAATTTTTTTTTGTTTTGTTCAAAGGCACACCACACCAGAGAGCGAGAGCTACCATACGTCGCGTAAAAAACAAACCATCAACGACTACAGCCACGAGTAAAGTGATTTTTATCCAATTCAATCCAACACTTTGCATTGTGTGCGGCTGGTGACTGCAGCAGCAGCAGCGGCAACGACAGCAGAGCGAGCAAACGACCAGAGCTCCACACAGAACAGAGAGTAGGGGAGAATAACAACAACAAAACTAAACAAAAGACACACTCACATAGAGCACACTGTTACCCATAACAATATGACATGGAGATGCCATATTTTGTTTTAGAAATCACAGAGATGACCAAAGTAGGAATTGATGTTTTGAAATGAAAAATGTTAAAACTCATTGGAGACCCAGAGGATATATCCTGTATTGAAGCAATAAGTAAGTACTAGCATTATTCATTAACATGTCTTAATTAATATGTCCTTATTGACTATATAAACTACAGTAGTGTGCATTGTAATAGCAGTTATTACATATCATAGCATTTTTCTAACTCTAACGAGCTGCTAGTTTTCTTCTTCCTGTGGAAGACCTGGAGGTACTCTCCTTTCTATAGGAGAGCTGAAGGCATTATTCTTCCTGTGGAACAGCTGCAAATATTCGTTTTCCTGTGGAAGCGTTGCGGGTTTTCTTCTATCTGTGTAAGAAATACAGGTGTTCTTCTTCCTGTGGCAGAGCTGCAGGTATTCTTCTTCCTATAGAAGATCAGCAAGTATTCATCTTCCTATAGGAGAGCTGCATGTAATTTTCTTCCTATTGGAAAGCTGGAGGTATTTTCCTTCATATAAGAGAGCTATAGGTATTCTTCTCCCTGTGAAAGAGCTGGAGGTATTCTTCCTCAAAAGCAGAGCTTCAAGTATTCTTCTTCCTGTGAAAGAACTGCAGGTATTCGTCTTTTTACGGAGGAGCCCAAGGTATGCTTGTTCCTATAGGAGAGCTGGATGTATTCTTCCTCCTATAGCAGAGCTGCAAGTATTCTTCTTCCTAGAGGAGATTTGTAGGTATTCTTCTTCCTGTGGAACAGATGCAGGTATTCTTCTTCCTATAGGAGAGCTGGACGTATTCTTCCTCAAAAGCAGAGCTTCAAGTATTCTTCTTCCTGTGAAAGAGCTGAAGGTATTCGTCTTCCTATGGAAGAGCCCAAGGTATTCTTGTTCCTATAGGAGAGCTGGATGTATTCTTCCTCCTATATGAACAATTTGGGTGTTCTTATATTATAAACAAAAGATATTTTTAAATTTTTGTTTCACTCATAACATATTGACATATTGAAAAGAGCAATCAAGGTGCTCTTTTGCAAATTTTAATCTTTTGATGGTATATATTTTTTTCAGTAGAGATACTTTTCTGGATGATCTATCGTACAAATGGTGATGCAGCAAGAGTCTCCTGATTGTACGTGGGTAATCTTCTAGATTAAATTGTTGTTTTAATTCAGTTGCAGAGGTGTCAGATTAAACTCTGACTGAAAATAAAAGAAAGACGTATAATTTTTTTCATTCTTTTAGTAGCAGTGCCACAAAATAGTGATTTAAAAAATTTAGAAAGAAATAAACTACTAACATTTTTTTTAAATAAAGCGCATATATTAAGAATTAGTGCTGAACTGCTATTAATTTGCACGCTACTGTATCTTATCCTTATGTTTTACACCGGCGAATATGCAATATATCCCATATATATACATATATATATATATATATATCCCATCCAAAAAAGAGGTTTGGGAGGGTTTATTCACAATGTTTATAGAATTTTATAGAAAAATTTTCTGCCAGGTAATAATTCAAAATATCAAAAAAATATCCCGAATATTTTGTGTTCCGTATTTGAACATGACCTGACTGCGTACAAAATACATTTGCATACAAAATGCCAGTACTATATCTGAATTCTTTCGGAAGATCCATTATTTTTTCGACAGATGGCTGTACTGATAGATTTATCGTAAAGTACCGATCAAACAATTTCAGATTTATTTTCGCAGGAAAAGCAAATATTTTGCTGTTTTTTGTTTGGTACATTCAGTTGAGTTACAGGGTGTTAAAAATAAAAAATAAAAATAGAAAAAAACTATCTAAATAAGCTTATTAACTGGAGATTTCTAATTATGCGATATTCGAAATTAGATACCTATCGATCAAAGCTAGTGATGTACAATGAGAGTTTCATATCGAAAACGGAGTATCCTATTTCAACTAAATGGAGTATCCGATTTAAACTTTACACAACCTAATATTTTAAATATATATATTCAATGTTTGTTTGAAGTACCTCCCCTTCAACGGTCAACATTTCGAAAATTTGTCAATCGCATATGAAACGAACTGAATATAAAAATTCGATCTACACTTGCAATATCACGAATGAACGAATTTGAGTATTTGAAAATAGGACAACTCAGTTTATAAAAATAACGATTTATTATGGAAAAAATTGGCATTGTTCTCCAAGGGTTAGGTATTTTTGCTCAAAAATATCCTTTCCAAAAGCGTCCTTCACAGTTAATAGAGAATTTATTTGTTACCTCTATATCCTTTTACAGGGCATTAGTAAATAAATATCATATTTTTCCTACATCCAATACTATTCACTGTTTTAGAATCGAATTTTTACCACATTTTAAAAATCGACCAATATCGTTGCAAACCCCTTTTAGCGGTATATGGTAACGCTGCCTAAACCACCAACACCACACAACATAAGTGGGATTGTGCTGGCGTATTTTGGGTAAATTTTACTTGGTGAGCGGCAGCAGCAGGTATATATGCTTAAATTTTCCAAGACCTCTCACTCTCCCCGTTCGTACGTCCACACAAACACAAAACATCCCATAACTCTTTATTTTCCACAGATTGTTTTTACACAGAGCAGCTGACGGACATCTCAACTTGTTACTCTCCGAGAATCTTATTACAACAACGGCAAAAACAAAATAACGCTGTTCATATCGGCGGCGACAAGTAAAAGTCTCCACTTGTCGATGGGTCACAACAACAGCAACACAACTGTTGTTCACACAAAAAAGGAATACAACAACATACTTTTTCATTCATTCAATTCGTTGAGATTTTGTATTTTATTTGTTGTGTGAAAGAGAGTTAGAACGAGCGCGCTCGAGGTGTATGTGTGTGTTGAGAAATGAGTTTTGTTCCTGCCATTCCATGAGATACATTCAACCACTACTGCTACTTGCTGGCTTGTATCACATTTACATGCAGATGCATAGATACATACGTGATTTTTTTAGTTTTGTTTTGTTGTGGCTGGCTCTGATTCTCAGAGCAAGTGTCAGAGATTGAGAGCTGTTGATGTTCTGAGCAAGATTTTTTTCTCTCGGCTGTCGTGTTCATTCGTTGTGTATTGTTTGCGTTTTTGTATAAGTTCATTGATATTTTTCCTTATTGTTTGTAGCGTTGTGTGTATGCGGGTGTCAGTGTGTGCGCGACAATTCATTGAAATTTTTCAATCTTTACACACAGATACTGTTGTTTGCTGCCAAAGTAAAGCAGAAACGTCTCTTCATAACAGGTTTATTGTTGAACACCAACAAAAAAAGGTACTGGAACAATGTTGCCACATGTTTGTGAGGTGTGATATTATGGGGGAGTTTGTTCGTGTAAAGGAAGTATATTTGTTAAGAAGAATATTGACCAATTTGCAGTTAATGTTCATTTTTTTTTCTGACAATATCCTTAACTTAAATTGTTGAGAAGAATTATGGGCAATAGTGTTGTGAAATGATAATAAAAACATATAGAAAACTATAATCGATTGGTATTGTTATATGGAGCTGT